AAGAGTGCAAGACCAAATTTCTCCACTAGGGGATACCTCAACTCGGCATTTTTCAGTACATGACTGACAAAGTAGACCGGGAGCTGACAGCTGTCTCTTTCAGCAAGGAGAACAGCGCTTAACGCATGATCAGAGACAGCCAGATACATGTAGAGTACTTCTTTGGGCAAAGGGCTGACCAGCCTCGGCAAGGAATGCAAGTGAACTTTCAATTTCTGGAAGGCGGCCTCAGCATCCGGCCCCCATTCAAACCTTGCCTTTTTCTTAATTTCCTGGAAAAAGTATAAGCATTTGTCGCCTGATCGACTTAGAAATCTTCCCAAGGCCGCCAGACAACCTGTTAATTTCTGAACCTCTCGGATGGTACGAGGCGACTGCATGTCAATGACCGCATGCACCTTCTCAGGGTTTGCCTCTATTCTTCTCTGATTGATAAGGAATCCGAGAAATTTCCCAGACTCAACTCCAAAGACACATTTCTTGGGATTGAGCATGACATGGTGCAGCCTGAGTGTGGCGAAATTTTCTCGGAGGTCCGACAGATGATCTTTCTGAAGTTTAGTCTTGACAATCATATCATCAATGTATGCCTCGACGTTTCTCCCAATCTGATCAAAGAACACAGTGTTTATCATTCGCTGGAAGGTAGCCGGAGCATTCTTAAGACCAAACGGCATGACCGTGTAACAATATAACCCCTGATCAGTGACGAAGGCCGTCTTCTCCTGTTCTTTCTTCCATAAAGGAATTTGATGGAAACCAGAGTAGGCGTCCATAAAGCTCATCAAAGCATGGCCGGCTGTTGAGTCGACCAGATTATCAATTTTAGGCAGAGGGTAACTGTCTTTGGGGCACGCCTTGTTTAAGTCTGTGTAGTCTACACACATTCGCCAGGTGCCATTCGGCTTTTTAACAAGCACCACATTTGCAACCCAGTCTGGGAAGTAACATTGCCGAATGAACCCTGCATCAAGTAATTTTTTTACTTCGGCGGCTACCGCCTGACTTCCTTCGTCGCCATGGTTCCGCTTCTTCTGCCGTACCGGCTTCTTTTTCGGATCCACGGCCAGTTTATGTACCGCCAGATCAGGACTAATGCCTGGCATTTCATGGACTTCGAATGCAAAGATGTCCTTGTATTCTTTCAATAGTTTGTGAAAGTCGTCACCAAGGTCTCTCAGAGCAGTCGTCCCCACTTTGACTGTTCGGTCAGGACGTGAGTCGTCTAAGATCAGGTCCGTATGCTCACCAGCCGGCTGAGGGCGGAACTCATCCGACCGCTCCTCTGCCAATGATTGCTATTTTCTTTCTTTTCTTGCGGCCCCTGTCGGGGATGCCTTTCTCTTCTTGCCGCCTGCTTCTTGAACAGGCGCACTCTTCTTGACATTGTCAAGGTCTGTTTTTTCACCACTTGACCCAGTGGCCATAACAGTGGGCTTGACATCCGAGAGATAGCACTCTCGGGCCATCCTCTGATCTCCCCTTAGGGAGCCGACTGTTCCATTATCCCTCTCAAATTTGAGCAACATAAGAGATGGGATTATAACAGCCTTGGAATTATTCAGGGTTGGTCGTCCCAAAATCATGTTGTAAGCCGAGAGTTCTTTTACTACCAGGAAACGGACTACCATGTGTCGTCCTTCCCCTTTTTCGCCCAGGCGGATGGGTAAATCCACTCGTCCCAGTGGGTGGACGACTCCTCCTCCAAACCCTACTAAAGGGTGGGATGCCGGATGTATGCAATCAGTCTGATATTTTAGTTTCGACAGACATTTTCTACTGATGAGATCTGAGGAGCTCCCGGTATCTATGAGGATTCGGCCAACTCTCTGGTTGGCCACTTTACATTCAATAACGATAGGGTCGTCATGCGGCCCTCTTACCCCTCCGAGATCTTCTTCAGTGATGACAATCTCAGGAAATGAATATTTAGACGGCCGTTCTTGGTGAACGGAATTTACATCTAACCGCCTGATATAGTCTTTGTTGCCCCTAATAGTGGGGCCGCCTCCTGAGAAGCCGCCTGCAATGGTGTAGACGACTGCATCGATCAACTTGCTCAGACAGGCGGTCCAGATACCGCATGAGACTGATGCAGTCATTGGTGTGATGACCAACATCATCATGATAAGCACAGAATTTATCTTGGTTCCGGTTGTTTGCAGAACCCTTCATGGGGACCGGCTTCTCAATTGAGATCCGTCCCTTGATTTCTTTTAGGATAAACTGGTTATCCTTGTTAAACGCATACTTTGGGGAGTATGGTTTGAATTCTTTTTTCTTTTTCTGGGCCGGCTGTTTAGAGGAATCAGCCGCCCAGACCTCTTTTCTTTTCTCGTCTTTGTTGGACGACTGTTTCTGTCGTCCTTCTCTTTTGTCGGACCTTTTACCGCCCAACTGTTTTCCCGTACTACAAAGATCAGTCGCCTGTATATAGGCTTCCGCTTCAATCAAGGCCTCTTGAAGAGTCGCCACCCTCTTTCGGACCAAGTCAAATTTGAAGGTAGACCCGTCCTTGAGACCTCTGAAAAAGTCGGTATAGGCTACCTCATCCGGTAACCCTTGAATCTGTATTCTCATCAGGTTAAAACGCCTGATGTAAGAACGAAGCCCCTCCTTCTCGCCCTGCTGAATTGTTCCTAAATCAAGGGTCGTCTTCTTCGCAGGGATGTTCATGGCGAAGTTGAAGGTGAATAAGTAAGCAAGCGTCCTGAAGTTATTTACACAACCAGTCGGCAGGTTACCGAACCATTGTTGTGCGATTCCTTTGAGAGTCGCTGGGAAACACTTGCACCAAGTGGGATCATCCAACCCTTGAAGGTACATCAGGTTGGTGAATGCCATCAGATGGTCTTCTGGGTTAGTAGTGCCATCATAGGCGCCTACTAGTACATTTTTCACTTTGGTCGGCTGAGCGACTTCAGTAATTTCCTTGGAGAAGGCCGACGGCTGTTCACCAAGTCTAAGCAACCGTAGCTGCCAGTCCATAGGTTGGGCGTTTTTTGCTGCAGGTCCACCAAACGGAGGTGGCTGCAAAAAATACTGTTGTTGCGGAACAAATGGTAAGTTTGGTACCGCCTGGTCGCTATGAAAGCCGGACTGACGGGAGGTGCCGCCTGACTGACTCTCATGATACGACTGAGTATGCCTCATCGAGGCATTTCGCAGACTGTCTTGAAAGTTTGAAGTAGAGGCCGACTCTGACAATCGGTCACCCTTCTTCTGCTCTAGCAGTAGCCGAGCGTCTGTGAATGTTTGCTTCGACCCGTTCTCCTGAATATGACGAACCGGTTTCCTATTTCCTGTAGGAAAACGGAATTTTGTGAAATCAAGGGCAGGTGGCTCCCGCTTCCTAGATTTAGGATGAGGAGTCGCCTCTCGCCCTTGAACTGGCTTCCTCTTCAGTGAAGTGGAGGGTTTCTTAGCCGACTGCTCCTTGACCAGAGCAGGCGGCTTCTTGTTGATCAACTCTTGAATCTCTCCCTTGAAGTCCCTCATGAAAGTCATGAGTTCGTTCCTTGTAATGGGAGCAGACCCATCAGTCGGCTGTTGCCGAACAGGCGGTGCGCCTGCTGGCTCGCTTCCTGTATGAAGATGTTCCCGTTCCCTCCTTTCGGTATGACGGGTACGTCGGGCCCTTAGAGTCCCGTCTGAGGTTGTGTGAGCTTCAACTTCAAATTCACTCTCAGTATCATGGTCCGACTGAACTTGAGGGTCGTCTAGGGGACGCCTCTCTTCAGGAGTCGGTACAGACTTGGATGCCATCTCAGAAGTACTCTCCCCACAGACGGCGCCAAATGTTTCGGGGTTTTCTGATGTCCTGCGGGAGAGTTACAATTCCGAGACTGGAACCGGACGCCTGTACCTGCAAAACAACGGAGACTCCTGGTGGTGGGAGCTCCGCCTCCAACGGTCAAGTTAGTACTTGATTAAGGAGTAATTAACGCGGAAATTAAAGTGATTGGGTCTCTCTAGGCGAGAGTGTTTAATGTGAGTTTTTAGCGTAATCAGCCTGTAACTCTGTGTGTAATTAATGTGTTTTTTTTTTAATCCCCCTTAATGAGGATTAAGGGAGGTATTTATAACCTTGGGAAACGTGCCCATCCTAGGTTTAGGTTAACCTAGGGCTGATTGGGCTTCCCTCGGAAGCTGGGCCTGGGTGGCCGGTTTCTCCATTAGGCATGGAGTATGCCACATGTCATGACATAATAGGTCCAAGGTGGACGAATAAGCGCGTGCCACGTGGCAAGCCCTGACAGTTCCAACTGGGGGACACTTGGCAGGACCTGATTGGCCCACGTGGCGCATTCCGATTGGTGGGAGCAAAATCCCCTAATCAGGGTGCATACCATAAAAATGTCACATAGATTGATTTTAGTTAAGATAATTCCCAATCGATGAGTATAGAGCCCTAACTTCTAATAATTACCTAAATTATAATAACAAGTGGCGCTCTTGAGCTGGGCGTCAAGTGAGCTAATCATTGTGAGGTGAGCCACATAAGCTAAATGTGTAAGGTCGAGCAACATAGGTAATTCATCAAGAACCATACTTTGATACTCATGAGTCTGAAGGTTTAATCTATATTGTCTGAGCAACAAATCATAATGAACATTGCTTTATATGCTCATCTAACGTGCATAATGAATGTATGTCTATCGATTTGGTTAGAATTGTAGGTGTTTTATCTGAAATTCAAAATCAAATCCGTTTACATCATTATTGGTGTGGGTTTCATTTCAAAAGCTGACTTATAATCTTAAACAATAACCATATACGACTTGCCATTACTCGATACATACACGAACTCGCAACTTGCACTTACGATTTCTCTTTTTTCTATGGAAAGTTAACTCTTTAACTCGTACAAGAAATCAAAGCATGATATTAATTAAACTTCAAATATACAAAGTGACAAATTGTCGAATTACATAGGAATAGTCAGTCAACTAATGTATCAATCAACAAGTGATGTTGTACAGTACAATCCAACTTTAGGAGAGAGAATATACACTCCCAAAAGACGCGGTATTTAGCATTATTAATTCATCCCAAAATATAAAACCTTTGTTCTTCTCCTCCAAAACCCACCATTTTTCAGAAATTCAACGTTCAATTCATTCAAGTTTGCTACAAATTAATCATCATCTGAATTTTTTTATTGATTTTATCATCTAGGTATTTAAATTCATGCTGCAAATTTACTCATTTGATTGATTAATGCGATAGAAAAGAGGAAAAGAAGAGAGAGAAAATGGGGTGTGTTTCCAGTAAAACAGCGGATTCTAAAGCTAATAGAGTTGCTCGATGGCGTTCCACTGGCATTGTTGCTCTTCGAGACTCCAAATTAAAGGTCTAATTTTTATATTGATTGAGAAAATTTATTGAAATTTTCCAATTTTATGATATGGGATGCATGCTTTTCTGGGAATATTTGCTTTGATTATGTTTATGTTTCGATTAAATGGATTATGATTATTGTTATTGTTTTATGTTGTTCATTTGTATTTATGATATATTGATTGTTCTCTTGTTGGGAGGTATGATTGATGTTGTTTCTCTTTGTTTGTTTGTTTCGGTTAATAAAATCATTCAGAGACATAAGAAGCTTAAATTTATGAATTCTGAGGACTCTTTTATTTTTCGTGTTGAATTTGTGGTGCGGAATATAGAAATGTTGCATATATTAGGTGATTAGACTCTCTTAACTTGAGTGGGTTCTTCTTCTTCTGCTTGAACGGCTTAATCCCATAAGTGGTTGTTCCCCTAGGATTAAGAAATGATGGTTTGGTTCAATTTTGAAACTAATACATTATGATTAACTTCAAGTTGTTGTCAATGAGGAAATGTTGATTATGGTCAACGAGGCCTATGATGGTATGGTGTTCACTATTGTGGAACTTTCATAGTTTCATACATAACTTGGATTCTATGACTATTGTTTACTAGAGGAGATAGAATAACTACATAAACACTAGTACACAATTATGCTCCAATCATTCAAAAAATGATGATACGTAGGCAAAAGTATGGCATGATTATATATACATATATACCCTTTATACGGAGTAGTAGTAGTGTTTTTTTAATTCTCTCCCATCTTTTATTTAAAGTTAAGGTTCATTGGGATATTAAATATATTATTACTATTTTAGGAAATTTAATTACTTTTTTCGGACCTCTTAAAATAGTTTATGTGGGTAATGTGACTATTGATTCTTGGCTAAGGTAGTATGTTGAGAATGGGAGGTAGTATAAGCAGTTAAGCACTCAGAATGAGGAGCAAGTTGGAAACAATTGGATGTCTCCTTATTGAGTACTTTTGTCAATTGTTCACATCAATTAGCTATATTACGCCTTTCAAATTTGATACTTCTATTTCTTTCTAAATAATTGCAGTGAAAATTTGGTGAGTAGTCTAACAATTTTGCAGCAAGGTTCATTTTGTTCAACTTGATTTGTAATTGCAACAACTACTGATTACTGAGCAGATGAAGAATAGTCAGAACCAAAAGAGAATCTTTTTCGGCATGTATATTAGAGGTTCTGAAAGGTTGTATATTGTATGTTGTGTTGTCCAAGTATTATCCAAGTACCCAAGGCCAATCATTGTATTTTAGTGTCAAATGGAGTGTTAAACGTTGAATTAGCTGGAGAAGGTTACTTGCGTTTGGATAAATAAGTTGTGCGTCTTTTCTCCTTGGGTGCAGCAACAGAAAACCGAATCATGTTCTTTTGTAGGTTATCAGTTTGTGTAAGTACACATAGAGTATTATGTGCTGAGAATTTGTTGTAAGACTTATGCCTATGTCTGGCCGCAGCTGAACATGTTCAGTGCTGAAGTCTTAGGTTTAGTACTTTTCTGTTTAGGGTATTATGTGCCTTTTTAATATTTGTGCTTGAACTGAAATAAATTTAATTTGTTTTTGATTTATATAAATGTTTTTCTGCTTGTATTACTGACCTGTATAATTATGACTTAGGATTCTTAGGAAATTTATTATTGTTGCTGATATATAAGGCCACTTAGAATTGTTTAGGGTTTATAGGGTAGGGTTTTGCAAGAGGCTTTGTTCTCTTGTACTCTATTGGCTATTGGGAATATTTGACCCTTCTCAGCCATGCATTTCTTCCAAAAGTTTATATTTTATATTTAATCACTTCTCTTTGCCTTGTTATCAGTTGAATATAGGCAATTTATTATGTGTGTGGGCATAGGCTCAAGTATTGTATTTTATTTTGAAATATACTTACACTTGTATTCTTTTGCATTTTCTGCATTTCTGTTATTTCAAAATATGGTTTTGAATTCTTAATTAGATTCTCAGAGTGCAGCTCTTTACTTATCTATATAGGCTTTGCTTATATTCAATTCTAATGAGCATTATTTCCATGAACAGACATTTCCTGATGAAGTTCTTACCCTTGACAGAGCTGTACGCACAGTGGACTTAACACACAACAAAATAGGTAAACTATATAATAGGCAATTTTTGTATGTTGTCAGTAATAGTAGTTGCATTAGAGAGTGTTTTTAAGCTCACTAAAGAGTTTAAGAAAATTGAGTTGTACATTTTGATGGAAACAATATAACACTCTAGAGTTTGTGTGACAATTTTCTCTTCCAAGGTTTTAATATGTCGTTTACTTGTCAGAGTTCTCACATTGCTTATGTGCATACTATTCAATGAGTGAGAAAAATTAGTGAGAAATTAGTGGGTTGGTAAGCATGGAACCCAACTGTTGAGTAAAAAGTTGATAGAAAGAGCTTACAATAAAGGAAATGGGCAAGTCATTTGGGACATCCCAAAAGGGGAGATGTGTCTTGTTACTTGTGGTGAAGGGAGTATGAGACATTTGGTTGCCAGATAGTATAAAAATTGACCGTTAGATAAGTCATACGGCTGCTGTCTAGTTGAAGTGGTTTTGTCTAAATGGTTTTTTTTGGAGTGTCCAGACGATGTGCATCATGTTTGTTATCGCATGGATGTTATTATTTGTTTTTGAACTGCTTTAACTAGGTAGGGTCTTCTGTGTGACCTAATTTTCATGCCTTGTGCTATTGAACTCTATTTCTAACAGTTGAATCTTCTCCTTGTATGCTTTTTACAGTTGATGTTCCAGTAGAAATTAACAAATTGATCAACATGCAGCGCCTGGTAAGAGAATAGTATTTTTCTTTGTAAACCTGAATTATGATTTATACTTGCTTTCCGAGGGCTGCTCAAAATATCACATCACAACCTTATTCTTTGATTACCCATGTGAATGCTTGATTCTCTGACTGAGGGGCAGTGCTTTTTAAATACTGTAATGCTGATTTTTTAAAAATTGTATACATTTATTTCAATTAACATATCTTCTCAGATTTTGGCAGAAAATCTTATTGAATGTCTTCCAATGAACTTGGGGAAACTTCAGTCACTAAAAGTAATGACACTTGACGGGAATCGACTTTCTGGCTTGCCTGATGAATGTAATCTACCTCTCTCTAACATTCTAAGTGTTATCTTCTCATTTCTTGTGAAATCATGGTGATTGTCTCTGACAAAGTCTGTCTTGTTAGTGGGTCAACTGGTACGGCTTGAGCAGTTGTCAGTATCTCGGAATGTGTTGACATACTTACCAGAGACTTTAGGGAGTCTTAGGAATGTAAGTAACTAATCTCCTGTGGTTTTTCATACTCTTTCCGTCTCACCATCTCCCCACCTATATATTCTGAACTGTCCCAAAACACTGTCCTATATATATTTTTAAAAAATGTTAATTATTCAATCAACATTCTCAATTCTTGGTGTAGTAACATACGTGGTACTTGTTAACTTGTCCTTATTAAATGCACTCCTCGATACAAGTAAAAGTAAAATGCTAAAATTAATAAACTTAGTCTGATGAATGAAGTATTTGACCTGAGTTCAAGTCCTGTAATAATCCAACTTGCAAAATATTAAATGTCAAGTAAAATAGAGAAATTACACTGTTTGGTTTGCTACCCAAAAATAAAATAAAAGGTACAGCAAATTGTTTGATCTTTTGACCGTTTTATTTTACTATATCTTATCTTTTGTATGACTTGTGATTTTGTGATGCAGTTGAAGCTCTTAAATGCATCAAACAACCAATTAAAATATCTTCCTGAATCAATTGGGAGTTGCTTTTCACTCGAGGAGCTTCAAGCAAATGGTATCCATTATCTCCTTTTTTTACTTTAACTGTACAATTTATGAATAATGTGTCAAAGTACAGACCTTCAATGTCTATAGAATCTTATGATGCAGTGAAGTGTTAAGTTACATAAATTTGATGTTATTGTTATACTTTACAGGTGTAACTTTTCCTCATACACAGTATTGTTAGATGTGCTACTCGTATTGTATTTCGTATAATTCTTTGTTTTCATAATCTGCTAGAATGTAGCCGAGTTTATCGGTTTCTTGTTTCAAAGCGTGTTTACTAGAACAAGATGAGTATAAAGCTTTTTTTTTTTTTTTTTTTTTTGGTAAGCTGTTCTTGCTCTTCATGAATGCACTGCAGTTCTTGAAGTCTCTTCTTGGAGGTCACTTACAACTTTTAGTTTGAGACGGATATAGTAAAGAGGTTAATCAAAGCTGTAAATAACAATGATCCTTTTTGGGAACTTGTAGTTGAATTGATTGTCCTATTCTGGCTATATACATAGTGATTGTAGTTCAATATTATGTCTTATGGTTACCTGGCATGTTGCAGCTTAGCATTTTTTAATACACTCAGGAAGTTTTTCAGGTTGTGTTATCTGACTTTTATTCTTTCTGTGGTGCTATAAGTACAGATTATTTGATGAGTTTGTTTATTGTATTTCCTACATGTTATTTCAACATTGATGGACAACCTATGATAATTAATGCTATTGACTCTTACTGCTGTCAAAGCCTTGTTCTTTTCTTCTTCCCTTGGCCTCCTTTTCATTCTAGCCTTTAGTGTATACAATTATAAGTTAAAGATTCGTGCTTTTACTTGTAGATAATTCCATTGACGATCTTCCTCCTTCAATATGTAATCTCGTTCACCTGAAATCACTCTCTCTGAACAACAACAATGTGAAAGAGGTAAATGTTTCTGTTGCTTATTAGGCTAGAATTCCTTATTGCTCTTTGGCTGAACACTGTCCTTTTGAGTTTTGTACTTATGTTACTCTTATGTTATTAGGTAACTTTGTTCTTTATGCTGTAAATTTGTTGGTTGTATTTGTACATAAGTTATCTATCAAAGCCTTGAAAAACTAGTGTTTCATTTCTGAACCTGTGTTGGAACTGAACTAAAGATTTTGAGTGGGTAATTTGCATTGCTAACTTCTGACCTGTTTGAAACCAACCAAGTCCAGATCGATCTTGGTTATTGTACTAGATACCCATACTTTTTGCTCCCTCCTATTGTGAGCAAATCAACACGTTTCATGCCGTCTGAGCTACAATAGTTTGGCTTCTAGGAAATGTCTCCTAGTTAAGAGTGTGAGAAGGGTCACCTGCTAATGCCTATTGACTACCTTGTCGTCCTATTTGAAATTACTACCCAAAGTTAACCGTTTTGACGGTGGCTAATTTGTTAAAGTTAGCTTAGGTACTAAGTGATCAGCGGTTGGACAATTGTTTTCTTCTGGGTGTGCATTAACCAGTGTGGAGCTGTGGACTCTTGTAGGCTTTGGTTAAATACATTACTAATTTTAGTTTTGATATACGCTGCCCTTATTGCTAATTATAGACATTTTATATATTTACTAATAGTATTATAAGAAATATGACAAATTCACACGTCAATCGTGTTATTGATGTTTCTTTGATGATTAATGTTTCTACTTTTAGCTTCTATAGTTATTCATTAAGTTTGTGTACATGAGAATCATTTTCTTGATAATTTCAGTCAGAATTATATATGTGGGTTAGTGATTTGTCCTCTTGGAAACTGTTATCAGATTTTAATCTTGAAGCTTTTCATCTGTTTTCCTTAGATGCCTGCAACTATACTCAGAGACTGCAAAATTCTGCAGAGTATTTCCTTGCACAACAATCCCATTTCCATGGATCAGTTCCAACAGGCATGTCACTTACTCACTATTCTTCAAAGTTCAAACTGCAAATTTGTCTTTTCTGTAACATAGTCTAGTGGATTCTACACCCAAGCTATGTCGATTTTTCCAAATTTTTTATTTTTATTTTTTACTTTCCCTTGTATTTAATGATGGTGCACATAAATTAGATGGAAGGTTACCAAGAATTTGAGCAACGACGGAAAAAGAAGTTTGACAAACAAATAGACTCGAATGTGATGATAAATTCAAAGGGTCTAGATCAGGGTGTTGATTCATGATTCCGTGTATCCTGTACCAATTTTGATGAAATCTTGGTAAGCTTTACCGTTTACGCACAAGTTGAATTACTAGCTGCACTTTTCTTTCTGATCGTAAGACTGGTTTGAATTCTCTCTTATCTGTTGCACAATAACACTAATAATTATACAATACTAGTTAGCATTTTATTGTAATTTATGACTATCTTGGAGTTGACTTCTTTTACTAAGAGTTGCTTTATGATGATCCTATCTTCTAGAAGTGCGAGTCATTGTGCTAGCTGCAAAATCAAAATTTATTACCTAATATTATTCCTTGGAAGGTAGAGGATTCTGTGCTTTTGGTGTGATACTGCCTATTTAGTTAGTTAGCTAACGAGGAAAACGCTCTTAAATTCTTTTAATCGGTAAAATTTAAATAGACTAGTATATACTTCGTACTATATACACTATTGACGTCTCTCCCCATGTTGTCAACTGTTAGGCTTGAATCTATATTTCTATAGATTAAAATGAGTATACACATGAAATGTTTAGGCTTTGGTTCTTGGATTCCTTTTAGTCATGCCTCTGGTGTCTCATCTTTCCCTGACAGTGCAATTTTTCTGTTCAAGGTTGTCAAACAAAGTTAAGCTGTGAACATCTGAGGCAAAGATGAACCCCTCAGATTGTAATTCTCCAGCTGAATCTATCCAGTCGTGTTCAGTCATCTTGCTGCCCATTTAATTTCAGTCGCAATGGTGAAATGGCCTCTGTATATGATAATTTTTTTCGGGTAATTTTGTTATCTGGTCTCCCGAAGCTGGAAGCTTTATATTGTGCAGGTGTGTATATAGAGAAAGAGTTCCCTTGCAAATTGTTACATTGAACTTGCAACCACAGGAAGTTTGATATATTGAGTTTACGAATTGCTTGTTTTTCTAAGTGTTTATATAAGTACTATTGGCTTTCTTTGCATCTATGACAGCATCTTTCAAGCATACTATATTACTTTCATTGGCCGTGTATGGCAATTAGGCAATTAGCTTTTAAGTGCTTGTATTTGTCGGCTTGACTAGCTAATTGTAAACGCTACTAACCAGCATTTTCAAGTCAGTTTGTAACAGATCACAAACTTAACAATTAGCGGATTGCAGACTTGCAGAGGTCAACCTCAATAAGTGCTCCAATCCGCTAAAAGCTCTTCAATTTGCTGTTAACCAACCAACCAACCAAACTGTGTATTGTTTATTGTGAGCAGGAAATTTGAGCCAACGTGCAAATTATTAGCACTAATCAATGAAGACAAAGATGATAAGTACTTTGCAGTTAAAACTTCTTCTAAAGACTAACTGCTAACTTTGATTACTCCACAGAAAAGAATACTAATTGGCAAATCACTATCTACTAATCTACATGACGCTCAATGTGATATTGGTTGTTTTAGTTAGCTGTGATCTACACTTTACTGAATATTTTGCATGCACTCGGCGTATATTCTTGCTCACTCTTAAATATTTAACTGAAAAAAAAAAAAAAAAAAATCCTTTGTGCATGTGCATAGGCGCAAAGCGCATCTACCTCAGTGTACACTCAAGTGCATAATAGAGGTTATCGTGTTTTAAGAGTATTTTCATCATTTAAATAGTTTTCAAATGGATAACGCGTGTTGCTAATCAAAGTGTTTTATATTTGAGAATGTGAGATGTAAATTAAAATTCAATTTTACAAAAAGGTAATTTTTATGTGACTTAGGATAACTCTATCGTGTAGGACGTGTACTATATACTCGTTGTGTACGAGACTTACTCGCAAACAATAAAGAATATAGGTTGTTTGGCGGTGACTTCCTAGCAAACTCTTATACTATCTTCATAATTTAAAATTCAAAAGAAAGGATATTATTCTAGGAACGTAATCTAAGAAGAATGGAGCCGAATTTGATGTCACATACCAAATTGTAGGTGTATTGGTTTTTTCACAGAAACTTCATGTTCTATATTAACCATTTAACAAAGTACCGACTTCTCAAGTGCATTTATCAAACCCATCAACGACCAATCTTTTCTACATTTTCGGCATTTTTTTGGACAAGAACCAAAGTTGTTGGGTCTCCAACTTCAATCCCTTTTTGACCACTAAGATCTAAACTTCTCAACTTAACCTATGATTATGCCTAACCATTCGACTAATTATCTATATTTGCCTAATTGTACCGTCATCTTTATGTAACTTCTTCCCTATTTTTCTTCTTAATTGGATCATAGATAGTTTTGAATCTAACGAATTGTTTGACAACAATTTTTTCAATTAGACCACATTTGAACATGTGAAATAGTGTTTAGTAAAGTAGTATTCTTCTAAATATAGTTTTGAAATAAATTTAAAATGTAAGTTTTTATATAAAATATAGTTTTATACTCCATAACAACTAGTTTTGTCGATCAGTTTTTTGTCATTTATAACAGCTAATAGCTACTATAACTACTACTTTTGCCGAACAAGGTCTAATGAGATACAGTTTTTTAATGACTTTGCCAAGTAAATGAACACATAATTCCTTATGTTCACATAAAGTAGCTAAGTTTTCGAATCATAATGTCTATACTTTGAAGCTTAGTCCTTACTCCCCTTTATCAAGCCATTAAAGGTGGTTTTTTTTTTTTTTTTTTTTTCCACATAAAAAATACAAAAGAAACTAGCATAGATAACGCCATAAATAAATACTGAAAGTAACTACCACCGTCCACAAGCAACTAAACAAGTAGAGCAAGTGAAGCAACCACTTTGCCTACAATTGCCATCAAACTATGGTTAAAAAATCTACCATTTGCTAATCCTTGAAATATTGACATAATTAAACTATACTTATATGAAACACTAATTGTAACAAGTAATTACTAGTACTAAATTTGAAGCAAAGAGTAGTTAATCTCGGCCCAACTCGAAACTAATCCTTAAAGATTAAACCCAAAGCTTCATTCTCACCCAACCTAGTACAAATAGTAATTAGTAATGTAACTTAGATGAGGAGAGTAATCAATTAATAATGATGAGTTACTTACTTAAGTTTGATTTATTAGGTGTTAGCTTGTCAACCTCATTAGTAAGTAATTAGAGCTCATAATTAAAAAAAAATGGTGGTCCTATTAATAATAAAAAGTAGAAATAGTGTTTCCAATGAGCTTGGTGATTACTAAGAAAACACCTAGCACAAGTTGCATGCTAGCTAAAAGTATAAGAGAGCAAAGGAGAGAAGTGAGATGGGTTGTCATGTATAAGGTAGGTGATGACTACACAACCACCCCTATGCTCACATGCTATCTTTGTGTACACTACTTAACTATTTCAATTTATTTGCTTTACTTCTCTTTTTCTACTTCTTCTACTTCTACTATTACTATTGCTACTACTTTATATGGTTAGTTCTTTCGTTTTTATACAACTTTCAACACCACACTTATTTATCTTCCATAATAACAAGGAAGTATTATTATTATTATTATTATTATTATTATTATTACCACTTCATGAATCGATTGTGTACTCGTAACCTTTTATAGCTTGTTGAATCTCTAAGTCTGTACGGATATACCTGTAGTAGTAAGTTTTTAGGCGAGACTGTCTCTTATCAATATATCACATGATATTACAGTGTAAACTGTTCTTATAAAAAAATACAAATCACCTTTAACCTATGATTTTAAAAGTTAGTGCATTGCAATTCAAGTATTGTTATGTACTATGACACTCACAAGTTAGATGATAATATCATTAATTGCAATTCACCTTTTGTCTCTTTTCACTTGATCAACAAAGTACACAAGGTCTGTATTGATTAAGAAAAGAAATGAAAAAAAAGAGTGCAACACTTGGCCAATTTTGAATTTCTTTAATACAAACTCGAATAATGAATGAATCAATGGCGAAAGTATGCCATAAATCTGTACACTCTTGAATAATTGAAATCCTGAAACATTATACTATAAACTATATGAATCATAAAAATAAATCAATTTGAGATTAATCCCAATAATGACTCGTGCTTTTGAGAGCTTTCAACACACCAATATGGCTTGATGAACCCAACTAGTGAAGTACTACTACTAGTAGTAGTAGTAACGGTAGTAGTCGTGGTCGTAGTCGTAGTCATAGTCGTTTCGTCTTGTGCTGGTGCAGGAGGGAAATTAAGATCAAGCAAATCTCTAGTACTTTCTATGCTTGATAATCTTTCAACAACATCAGCAATTCTACTAGTTTGATGAATCTGATTATTGATTTTCGCCTCAGTAATTTTGCCATTTATATCACCATTAGATGTTACTAGTAAATGTGACCTTTTGTGGCCTCCCAGTGCTTGTCCTGATGGAAAAACTCGATAACATATCGGACACTCATGTTTGTGCACAACTTTCTTAGACGGTGATGATCCAATAATAGCCCCAACCTCGGGAATTAGCTCGTGCTGTTGTTGGGGTTGGGGTTGTCTAGGATCAGGAGATGAAACGACGTCGTTGCCACCGATGTCGGTTTCAGCCTCGAGCTTTGAAAAGGGAGGAGAACATTTACCTCCTCCACCATGCTTCTTGTGACTAGCTCTATGACCCCCTAAAGCTTGATAAGACTGAAATACTTTGTTACAAGTAGTACACTCAAATTTGCTCCTTTTACTCATACTACTGTAAAATTCTGAATCAAATATATCATGGTCACTGCTCTTTTGATCATATGAAGAAATCCCATGTTCTGAAACCTCAAATTTCACGATTTTCGAAGATTTTTTAACAAACCCAGAAGCTGCAGATTGAGCATCAATCTTTCTCTTACTATCAGAAGAGAGCTTGTTTTGATCATTTGACAAAAACCCATTTTCCAAAACATCAAAATCCTTCATTTTTACACTATCTTTAACATACCCAGAAGCTAAAGATTCCATCTTTATGCTTTTACCAACATGATCAATCTTTTCTCTCTTCTTCTTACTCTCAGAAAACTTGCTGTTTTGATCATTTGATTCAAACCCATTTATATTAACTTCAATTTCCTTCAATTTCAGCCCTTTTTGCTGATACCCAGAAACTGCAGATTCAGATTTTTTGTCAGCAGCAGCAGCAGAAACAGAGACATTCCCCTGAACTTTCTCTCTTCTTCTCCTTCTATTCTTGCTGTTACTCCCCTGATCAGCAGCAGCAGTAGCAGCAGCAGCAGCAGTCGCAGCCGCGGCGAAAGAGGAAGAAACGTCACCCCAAGATCCTACATCTCTAGACAACATGATCAAACACATTGCAACAACAACCTCTTCTTGTTCTTCTTGCTCTGCTTCAACCACCTCAGAAACAGAAGACTGAGAATTATTTCTTCCAAAATTTGATCTTTTCCCCTGATTCTGACTACTAATCTTGCTTGATTTCGGGTTTCCGGTCTCGTTCGAAGACGAAGAAAAGGAAGAATTCATAGTGTGATCCTCATGATCAGCTGCTGCTACTGATCTCCATGTTTTCTTTGGATTCTCTCTAAGTTCATACCCTGGTTTTGGTAAATGAGACCTTATATGACCTCCTAATGATCTTCCACAAGGAAAACTCTTCTTACAAAACTTGCAAATATGCTTCATTTTTTGCTCTTCCATAACAAAAACTAACAAAAAAAAAAATCAAAAAAGTGAAATTTAGAAGTTTTTTGTGAAAAAACAGAGGAAAGTTTGAATCTTTGAAGAAAATTGAGCTTAAAAAAGATGGAATTAATTTAGTTGGAGTTAGGAGAAGGAGGTGAAAGTAGGAGAGGGAAGTTGCTGTTTTTGAGCAAGTTTAAGATCTGAACTACTGATGCAAAAAAAGAGGAGCTTTTTTATTTGTTTTGAGTAGAAAAATTTACACATATTTTTTCACCATTTTTTTTAAATTCTCTCTCTAGATTATGAACTTTCTCTCACTGATTAGCTATTGGGTAGTTGAAAATTGAGGAAACAAATCCAAAATTGAAAGAGCAAAAAAAAAGGGGTAGTTTTAGTTTTTACT